TGTTACGAATATTTGTTATGTTGTACTTCTTCTCTACCAAAATTTCAAAAAAATCGGTTGTAAAATTCGTTTACATTTTGCATATTTGTTCAGTGAACAAAAGTAATTAAGTAATTAAGCAAATATAAAATGAATTAGCATGTAAAAACACAAAAAAAATAAGCAGACTGGAATAGATTAGAAATGGCAATACATATATATTTATATTTATATTTATATAGAAGCAAAATTTGGTTAGTTTATAATTATGAGACAGTTGCTGTTGCTTCGCGCTAAAATTTTATAAAAAATGTGGAAAATTAGTAACTGCTTCCGATTTCTTTATCGAAATATGAAACTTTCAAAATAAACAAAATAAAAACGAATACATAAGTAAATAAATAACTAATTGCAGAAGTAAAAAAAATGCATAAATATTTTAGCAAACTTGCAATTGCAAAAAATGCTTCATTTCTCTTTTAGCTTGCATGTAATGAAAACAAAAATAAATTACTACAGCAAGCACTTGCAGCAAATCTACTTATTTATTTATTTATTTATTTATTTATTTATTTAAGGTAAATTATTAAATCATTATCGACCATGTACAGTAAGTATATTCTGATGAAAACAGACATGAACAATCACTTTTGGTATATTAGCAATGATCAATCATTGCAGTGCATATCAAAAATAGAAATGCTTTCTATTAGAAATGCTTTCTATTTTTGATATGCTCTGAGAATTCTTCACTATTCCTCCTATCTTGTACGTAACAGTCATCACTTCAAACCTGTTTCATATTGGTATTTTTTGAAAATTTTTTCATCCACTACATTAATCATCAAAATATTTCACTTTTTATCTCATTTTTTATTTGACTATAGTAAATTATGATAGAAAAAAAAAGGTAATCATTTTAATCATGAAGTTAATTATTTACAAAAAATAGACATTTTTTGAATAATTTTGAAAATAAAATTATTACTACTCATATGTGACTAAATATCAGAAATAGAAAGCGTTCAGTATTAGAACAATTTACAAAATGTTACTAAACAGGCATTCATCGAAGTATGCGAACAGAACAATTTCAAGATTGTGATTAATACGCTTATTCCGCATACGATTTGCTTATTATTATGATCTCTTTAACTATGAAATGAAATTCACGAAATAATGAAAAAAAGATAATTTCTTACAGCAATAAAAAATAATAATAGTAATTACTATTATGATGATGAATTGTCTTTAATACATGACTCATCCATGCTAAATTTTAGTTCTTTAAAATGCCTTTAAATTAACTAAAAGTTTGCAATGCCCACAGATTATTTAACATTATTTATTAAGTTCAAAAAACTTTGTTTTTTACAGGCTGCACAGCAAGTAAAATATTTTTACTGGAAGTAATTTGCATTTATAACGACATCACTTAATCAAAAATTATAATTTAATAATAATAATAATAATAAATTGATTACTGATAAGAATAATGATAATAGACTTCACATAAATTGCAAAAATCCCACTATTTATTAAGAATGAAGAAAAAACGATAATGACAGCAAGAGCAATATCAATCGACTAATTGAGGTGAAAGCTCTAGACAACACAGTTAGGTGTTGTGTAATTTGATTGTTTATGCTATTTTTCATCATGTTATACTCTAGCATCCAATGTCAAACAATGGATTCTCACGTGACCACGTGATAAAATCGCAACGTAAACAAGTTGCAGATTGTTGTTGCCTTTGAAACAAAATTAAGAAAAATTTCTTACAAGAACTAAAAAATGCAAAAACTAATTTAGATTTTCTTCTTTTATAATTACTAAATCATTAAATACTTTGATAATATGTCAATAATTTAATTTATAATTAACAAAAATTAATTTTCTTTTTTTGATTAAATTAAAAGCTTAGCAAATGAATGAATTTAAGAATATATGAAATTACAAATTTTGTGTCTAACAACATAAACGATAACAAATTTATCCCATCACATGCGAATACGCTCAGTTTTATGTAAATTATTTTTAAATGAGCTAACTATGAAATCAATAAAGCAATTAAAATCAATCGGTAGCTTTACATGCTTTCATACATTATTTAAAATCCGAAAATATCACATAATTTAAAATTGATAAACTTTGAAATAGAGTTAACAGAAAAAAATTGCGTGGAAGAATTTGTAAGAGAATCCAATCATTCTTAAGGTTGCAAAAGTGGAACTAAAATAAAAGTCAGCAGTTGCTGGTGAAAATGTATTGATAATTAAACCAAACAACATGAACTGAAATTTTTCAATTTCAACTTCCTCCTGTTTATTTCAATTTTATTTTCTTAATTCGCAATTTCTTCCTAGTTTATATACACATACATATTATATATATGTATGAGTATATATAATATGCATGTGTATATGAATATCAATATTAATATGAATGGTCTGAGGCAAAAACAAAGCATGCCCTGGCATATTTTTTTTCTACCTTTTTTTATTGAGCTAACTTTGTTGTTCAGAACGGCATAATAAGTGTGTATAATTAATAAAAAATGCCTTAAAAAAAGATTAAAGCATATTGGTTATATTTTTAATTTCTGATTTCTCAATCCTGAAAAACAAATTTGAAAATTGTTCAGTAAATTAAAATGTTAGAACAATTTTGCATCTAACTTTGCATAAATTGTTTGATAGCTAAATTGATAATAATGATGAATAAATAAATGTATAATGAACATTGTGAACAACTTAGATGGTTTAATAATGTAATCTATATTGCAAATTTTTTATTAGTACACACTAAAATAAAAAATAATAAATTATCGTTATTCACATTCTGCATTACACGTAAATGTTTTTCATTATATTCATAAAAATGTTAAAATACATTAAATAATAATACTTCATTATATAAATATTACACTTGATTAAAGCACTTGATTAATATACTCCATTTGCAAATTTAATATATTGTTATTGCAGTTACTAAGTTATAATAAATCATTTTTACAAATCACTAAGGGATAAGTGCTAAGTTTAATTATTCTTAAAATGCTTGTAGAATAGTTTGTTTTTGCAAGAAAAGCAAAATTTCACGATTATGCTTGCAAATTACAAAATTAAAATGATTAAATATGTGGTTGTACTTCTATGTATGAAATAAATCATATTTTTAGTATTCAATTTCTAGAAATAATAAAAAATTTTAACGAAGAACAGATGTGAATCATTTATGATGAATGGTGCAATGCTGCTAAACATGAAATTTGCTTTACTGATCAATTTTATTTTTCTATTTTCAACAAACAGGATCCTGTAATTCCTTCAAAATTTACATTTGAAACTGTTTTTTTTTAAATCAAAAATTTATTATTGAAAATTTAATGATATCAAAGAGTAATGCTGAAAAATTGAACAAAGATAGAATGCTTCCATAAAGCAAATAGCAAATGCTCAATTAAAATCGCTATTTATTAGCAATACTTAGCTAATTTTTTGTGCTTTAGGCGAATACTGCGCTCTTTTTGGATATTTATTAGTTTAATCTGTTTGATTTAATTGTTTAATCTCCCATTTTTTTTAAGACACATTATTGTTTTATCTATTTCCTACGGTAAGCTGCCAGAAAAATCATATATTAAAAATTATACATATTGTTTTTTTGATATCCAAAAAGATTTGATCATAACTTATATTTATAACTTTAATCAAAATTATTCATAATTTTTTGCAAACATTCATTAATTACACTGATGAATACAAATGCATTGCTTGTTCATTGAACTGTCAAAAATAATAAAACAATTAAACAAGCATTTTAATTCAAAATATTAGACAGAAATAAAACGAAAAAAAATAATTATTAAAGCTACAAATTTTAGAAGGCAAATAGTATGAAATAAGATGCTTTCGTTGAATAAAAACATGCTTGAATTATTATTTTGCATCTGTGATCAAAATATATTTGCAGTGCCTTCCTTCCTTGT